TAGCTATGTGTCGCACTATAGGTCGAAAATTAATTTATAACTATATAAGTCGTGTCAGAACAATCTATCGCAAAATAAGAGCAATTAATATATCACAAAAGTACGAATTGATAGGTTTAAAGATGGAAATTGAAGAATTAAAGTCGGGGTTTATCGAGAGCCGCATTATATATTTTATACAATTGACATATACAGTTTATATGAACCGGCCCTACTAAGATGGTATGTTACTTGAACAAAAATGCAGTATTTAAAATTACAAATACAATTTTGTAAAGTGAAGAGTTTTTGTTTTAGTTAAGCATTGTCAATTGCTGGCAAAACAAAACTTTTAGTGACGCAAAATTAAGGCATTTTATAACTGTCCCACATCGCACGACTTTTTACCTATGACGAAAGACGTTTTACCTACGATGCAAAACCAAAACCCAAACTCGACCAGTATATATATCAAGCAATCAAAGAGCACTGAATATATCACGTCAATGAAGTACATTTGATCTGTGATGATAACTTACATCACTAAATCCAAAAAATTGAGAACTGAAACAAGTGCGGTTGTGCATGTTCAACCAATTTCTAAGAAACAACGAGAACAATATGGGAATCACATGAATTTGCCTTGCATGTGATATCAATATAATATTATGTGATGTCAACACACAGCTTTATAGACCAACGACTGGTTAATAATCTAGAATATACCGCCGCGTGCATTGCCGTTGGCTTTATAGTTTGCATTAATTTCTTCCATCACAAGCGATGACCAAGTGGCAAGATTTTCGCAAGACAAAAGCCGATCAGTTTATCGCCACGAATAAGGTTTTCTCTAGTTAAATAGACGGAGCAAATAATCGATGATTTTAGTTAGTAGCCATCGCGTCGTACAATATGTCATATGACATGTTAGTAGTTTTGTACATTTCTTACCTTTTATTGCACGATATCCCTTTGGTTTTACTTGATTTATAATTCTCGTAAGCGGTTGACTGCAGGTTTGATACTAACTAAAGTGTGTATATATGGCAACTGAGGAGATATCTTCCGGTTATTTGATTTTAGCAGTCCTTAAATTTCCTTAATAATATTAAAATTCCTTGTAATGGGATGTAATTTAATTTCCTTGCAATTTCCTTGATTAATCGAACGCATTTCCCGGTTATTTATCGTCATCAATAAGAGCAAGACAGCATAGAACAGTTTTTCAACATAAATCCTTACAACAAAATACAGGAAAATTTAGAAAGCTCTAAAATCTAAAAGACTATATAGAGCTTTAAACTTGTTCTCAAATAAATCAAACTCTATTCTTTGCTTGCATATCACGCAGAGACCGCGGAAGCATTTCGAAAGTGGAGGGGCATCGACCAAAAGGGGCAGTTTTGTATATGACCAAAATCGTTCACGAGACGAACGAAAATTTTTGAAAATATGGAGTCTGTATAACGTCGGAAATGGCCTTCACAGAGTCTTTACTACTGCGAAAAGGGTATTTTCTTTCCAGAAAAAGAGGGCGTTTATTCAAGAAATACTTTTTTCGTTCTTTAAATGAGGCATTAAAGCCCAGAAAAAAGGGCACTTTTTTCACTTTTAAAAAAAGTGGGGGGGGCACATGCCCCCATTGCCCCCCCCCGGGTTCCGCAGCCCTGTTCATATGACGTCAGTACGTGTCATTAGGCGCCATCTTGGTTGATTTTAAAGTTTTTGTCCTGCAGCCGTTTACATCGAAATAGTTGAGTTACTTTAATATTTTTGGTTTGTTTTGAAAACTTCTTACTGTATTATGGATAGTTTACGATTTCTGGCACAATACGACAAAGAATGAAGAATATAGATTTTTAGTTGCCTGCACGTATGTTTTGAAAATCAACCAAGATGGCGTCGATTGCAAAAGAGCAATATATCCATCAAATCAAACCTATTTTAATATGCTGAGCCGAAAAAGCAATACTTGAGCGGACAAAGGACATGGTCTAGAACAAGGCTGTGAATATATATCTTGGGAAACTTCATTTGTATCATTCGAAAATTTTATGCGCAAGAACCTTGTAATTATTATAACTAATTACTCGGTCGGTCGGCGGTCTCATGATTGAAAACAAAACTCGTCAGTTTTTATAGTAGACTGAGCTATTTGGAGGCAACTAGATAACTCATATATAGAGAAGCGCTTGCATGGGTATGCGACTAATACGAATTCAATATTTAACAAATATAAAACATTTTCCGTGTCCAGTTATATCAACACGAGTGGAAAATGGGAAAACGAGAAATTGTGTGGAAACACGACGCCACACAATTTCGAGTTTTCTCAACTTCCACGAGTGTTGATATAACTATATATCAATACGGAAAAAATGTTTTATATTTGTTTTATAATATAGCAATGTCAAAAGCCCGAAGAATAAGAACAATTTCCGTGTTACAATAGGCGGAAAATTTCCCGTGTTGACATGGAGTTATATCAACACGGCTCTTAGCCAATCAGCGTTCAGAATTTACAAATGCTATATTATAATATAATATAATGTATAGTTGTTATAGTTGTTGATAAAGTTGTTATTGCATGTTGATGGTATTATTATGGCTACTTATGGCTTCGAAGAGAGATAGCTGACTATTAAAGCGGCTGGACGACATACTCACAGACGGCGATAGTATATATACTGCAATGTTCGCAATAAAGCAATTGAAAGTAGTCTAGGCTATAATATATAAAAACATGCCGATACTTGCTGATTTTTATTCCAATCAACTGGTCGTTTATTGTACATATTATCGAACAATATTATACTCTAGATAAATTATTTCAATTTAGCAAATTGGATAAATGTTACTCATGCATGCATGTGCATGCAGGCATTTTCCTTGGCGGTGAAATTTGATATATTTAAAAAGATTGATTCTAATTTGAATTCAGCAATTGTATTTTATTTTAAAAATGCCAGGGTTCTTTTAGCCATAAGAATTTCATTTCAATAACTGCCCACAAATACAGGCAATTGAGATATCTCAGAATAATTTGTTCCGAGATAATTTGTCTCTTAGTATACCATTTGCTCATTCAGGAATATTTTTATCCCTCTTTTTCTTGTATTTTTAGGGCACTTGTATGTTCTCGGGAATATTCCTCTCTGATATTAGTTAGGATTAGGGTTTTCTTTCACTGCGAGCATGTCACACGGCGGAAGGCGGTAAGTCGCTCGCAGTGAAATTATTATGCTCGCGCGGGCATGGAACTACAGCTACATATGCAGCACGAGACATTTGTAAACCACCCTAAGTTCCTAACCATCAGCCTTAATTACATAAACATAATTATAAATCTCACAATAACCCTATTACTGACTAGCCTAACCATAACGCTAATTCTAATCGATCTACTCCGTATAATTAGGTCGTTCGATTTCTTAGTAAACTTTTGCATGGAAATAATTAAAGCAATTCATGCACGTAATTTAGATCTGTTTACAACACGTTCACAATAAATCCAACTAATTTTTAGAAATGTTATTTCTGTGAAATGTATATAGAATATTTGGGAAATACATCATTCTTAGACAGGAAGTTCAGAAATTAGACACATGGCCAGAAATCACGGACATGATTTATTCTACTTCCTTCGTAATTTGCATATCACGTTGAAATATGGCTTCTGCAGTAAACAGTAAATTATATTACGCGATGCTGTAAATCCCAAAATCAGAGAATATGGTAGGTCGTCGAAGTATTTAGCGTAACGTTGATTTGATTTTAGTAATTAGTGACCACTGGATCTGCATTTTCAGTTTTTGTACATGCAGAGGGTAGATGCATGAGATGTTTTATAATCAATTCTGATAGCTAGAAAGGCGTGTTGTTTTACTAAAGAACGAAAGAGGAAACTACCAAAAAATATTTGGTAAGTTTCTATGTATTTTTACATCTTTACATTAATTAAACGGAAGGTGACGAATTCCGAAACGTGCTTGCGCAAATTAGTTCGAATCGGTTAGTTTGTTTACACGCGGGAATTCATATAAGGCTGGCTGCACTCGAATTAATTTTTGTTCAGTTTATGCATCGTTTCTGATCGCAAAGGCAGCGAGACCGCATGTACAACATTTTTATTTAATATTACAATTTCATAAAGTAAAGAGTTTTTGTTGAGTCAAGCATTATTATTATTATAGCAAAACAAATCTTTTAGCATTAAATGTACGCATTACAAGATTTAGGCATTGTTAATAACTGCCCACGATGCCCGAATTTTTACTCACGATACAAGGCCAAAACTCAAAGTCGATCAGATTTACAGAGTATCAAGCAATCAAATTAATATTTAAGAGCCCGTGAGGCTCAATATATCATGTTAATCAAGTACGTTTGATCTGTGGTGATCATGTACATCACAAAATAAAAAAATGAGAACTGCATGAAAGTGAAACAAATGCGGTTGTGTGTTCAAACAATTTCTAAGAATCACGAGAACAATATGGGAATCATTGCCACAATTAACGACAACTGAATGGCCATCGCTTGTATGCTTGTTTGATACAATCCATATATAGAGGATATTAGACGGTTGCGAAGAGATATGGATTTTATGTTCGAGTGGCAAAAACAATATCTCACGAGTGAGCTCAGCGAACGAGATATTGTTTTTGACAACCAATTTCTAAGAAACAACGAAACCAATATGGCAGTCACATGAACTTGCCTTGCATGTGATACTGCGATTTGCAGTTGAGCTTAGAGACATGAAGTTTTACCGTACAGTTTGATCGTTGAAACGCACAAGTTACCAAGGGCAAATTCAAATGTTGTCAAGCGGAAATGCGAATGTTGTCATGGGAGATTTAGGCAAGTTCGGCCAATCACAGTGAAGAAGGCGTTGCCCCAAATCAAGCGCATAAGTTCAAACATAGTACTATAATAAAGGAATCTGTACAACAACGCTTTATATATTTGTTTCTTGTATAAAACATGTGGATTATGAGTATATTATGTGGTAATAAAGCATGGAAAAAGTAAGTGAAAGGAAAAGAACATATGTTAGAGGCAAACCGCTCGGAAATGACCTAAGATCTTTGATTATTGATGAAATTATACATTCTGGAGGGAATATAATAACTCGAGAATACCCTGGGAATTTTTTTGCAATAGCTAAACGGTTCTCTGTTCACGACTCGACTGTAAATAATATTTGGAGCAATTACTGCGAGAACAAAACACTTGATCCAAAAAAGAAAAAGGGCGGAAATCCAAGCAAATTACGTGATGGTGATTTGGAACTTATCGAAACGTTAACAAGGATTCGTCCAACTATCAGTCTAAACGAACTAAAAGACGACGTAGAATAGTATGATCCAAAGCCTGATGGAGTATCCATTTCAGCTATTTCCAGCGCGTTAAAACAAATAATGCCTTCTGGTTTGCAGTATTTACGAAAGAAAGTAAACAAAGTTGCTATCGAACGATTTACCCCAGTTAATATGGTCTATACGCAGATGTTTATAAACGACCTGCATTCTAAGGACCCATGCATGCAAGTTGAAATTTTTTGATGAAGCAGGATTGAAATTGCCACATCACGGGACAAGATATTACGGACATGCTCCGGAAGACGAGAGATGTATTGAACTGGCACGTTATCATCAAACTCCTAATATAACACTGAACCTTCTCGCAGGTTTAGAGGGAGTTGTGTGCGCTAACACTGTTAAAGGTGCTGCTAGCAGTGTGCATCTGTTGCAGTTTTTCGGAGAGGCTGCACAAGCTGGAAATGTAGTTGCTCAAAGACCAGCGCTTGAATATGGGCCGGATATTGTTGTGATGGACAATTGTCCAACCTATCACTATACGATGGCGAAGAGGTATTAACTGAGTTTCTGAATGAAATAGGTATAGAGCTTGTTTATACCCCTACATATTCCCCCGATTTTAATCCCGCTGAGTTTGTATTTGGAAAGATCAGGACTGAAATGCAGTATGCTTTATGGGAACTGACAAATCGAAACTTGGTATTATCCGTTTATGAAGCAATTGACAAAGTTACGGAACAGGATATTATTGGATTTTTCAGGGCGACCTCGTACATTTGAAAAACATGATCAAAAACCGCTTTATATTAGTAACATGTTAATAGTTGGCTTGGATAAATCCACGCCAACATGAAAAGATACTAAAAAGGTCATTTTTCAAAGCAGATGTCACCGACATGTCGAGACCACATTTGCACATAGTTGATAAATTAGGAAACTCTGTGATCTAGCCGTGGGCCGTGGCAATATAATTTTCATATTTATACTCGCCCCAATCTTCCGCATGCTGCCAATGTTTACTCGGCTCCAGTAAGAAACTTCGTGTAACCTAAACCAACTACAACTCTAGGTTTAAACCAAACCCTGGTTAGAGTCGGGCGTAACCATAGGGTTAGGGTTGGGTTAATCCAAGTATAGGGTTGGGGTTAACTCGATCGCGAAGTTTGGAGTTTAGGTTTAGCCCTAGAGTTAGTGTTGTGTTTAACCCTACAGTTTAACTCTAGGATATGGTTTAGGGTGAGTGCAGGTTGAATTAAGGAATGTACCAGTAGAATAAATTTGTAGGGAATGTACCCGTAGAATAAATGCACAGGTCAATTTTTACCGTAAGTGCATCAGGGCGTGACTGTCTCCCCCCTGTCAACATGTTAAAAGACTAGAGGTCCTAGAGTGTACTTGTTTTGCCCTTGCACAGTTATAATTTGACATATTATTTCACATTTCGCTTCCGTATTTGATATGTCTCATTCCATAGATGAAAGCATTATACTATTTACAATCGAGTTTATTCATAAAATTCATAATGAAAAAAATAGGTACCAAATCTGACGAAAAGACTTGCTACAAGAAAACTCTATCGTTAACCCAAGCCATGCAGGACCACTACAACAATAAAAAATGTCGTTGCTGCTTTCAAACCAATGAGGAAACGAAGTATTCCGCTCAGTTTATTTTGGGCGTTTGTATATGAGATGGCTGTTGCGAATGACAAGAAAATCATTAAAACTATAAAGTGACGAAGTGTCAAAGACAATTTAATATTTATATATTTTACTTTTAAGGAACATGCAGTGTGCATAACGATCATTAACTACTTGAAACGAATTCAAAGTTTGCGCATATTAGCATGTCAGTATTTTTCTGTGCACAGATGGCTAGGTTTTTAAGTTTATTACATAACGCAAAAATGACATAATTAACAATTATTTAATGAGGTTGAGCATCATATGAAGACTAATCGAGCCAAACGTTTGTGATAACACGAACTGCTGCCTTGATATGTCTTCATATTTGTCGAAAACCGAATTCAATAATTGTCTTTCAAATTCAATTAGTGTATGGGCTTAATTAGTATTAATTTTGCATACCAAATGAGCTTTCGCGCATTCTGATTGGCTAGTTAACTAGTAAATCTAACGCAATATTTAGGCGCAATGCTATTCAAAAGAATGATTCAACAAACTTGATTTCAAAATCGATGAAATATTACAGAAATCGTCCTAGACGAAAACTAAAAAAGCCCAAATTTTGTTTTAACTTGAAAAGCGTAGGAATCTTCTATTATTTTACTGTGTAAAACATATTTACGGAAATTTAAAACTTATTTAAAACTCGAAAACATTCTCTTCAAATTTTGTCTAATTTAGCCAAAAAAACTATCCCAACTGCTGGCATATACCTTGCCGTAATATTATTTTAAAATGATTTTGTTTTGTATCGCATATATCTTAGCTGTATCAGATTGTACCGTAATGTGTTATGATTATTTCACAGATGGCTGTGAGCCAATCAGAAACCATGAATCTCGTGAACGAATAATAACGATATTTACTATATGGCAAGGCGGTCCATCTGCAAAATGAAGCATTTGATTGGTCTCTGAGCTGTCGGTAACCTGCAGTACCGACCGCGCTCACTGATCTCATAGTATAGACCGCTAAGATGGATGAACTGATCAGAATTAACTTCAATGCACTTTGTGTCAAGCCTAAAATTTACTTTTTCCCGACTGAAATGCTAAAAAGAACTATATCAGTTTGACAACGTCGAGAAAGCAGTGCTATACATGTTCTATTTCAAATGCTCATCCATATATTCAGTCATACTTAAAAACAATGTACAGTTAAATACAAATATTGGAACATACAACTTGTCATTAAAGATAAAAAGATAAAAAATAACTAAATGGCAGTTCAAGCATAGTCTCTTGGGTCAATTCGGTCAAATATATTTACTAGAAATTAGAAAATACATGCATGCAGAAACCCCTCGCCTTGCTGACAAAATTATTGTATTTTCCGAACATGAAGTATTTAAAGTAGTTGTCATGGTAACACGATAGTTTTGTTGAGAATATTTTTACAAATGAAAGATGCCCTAAAAATATCACTTTTAATTACAAAATTATCAATTCCCTAAACATAAATATATTAGGTATGTTACTCTGGGTATGTTATAATACGTAATATAAGCTTCAATTTAATGTAAAATTCAAACACAAACGCTTTGCAAGACGTTTTAAAATGTTCTTTATAAAACTAAACTGCCTTTATCGAAAAACTTTGAGTTTGAAATAAAATGATTTCAAATTCTCGCATTCAAGAACTTTGCTTTCTTTTTTTTAAATTTTAATATAATAAAAAAGGATAATCAATAAAGAAACATTGAAATTATATGCTGTCTTTTTTCATTTAAAATATGCCCAACGATCAGCTTTAATTGGATTTATAAAGCGAACAATACATCATTCATCAATACATCATCCTTCTTTTAGCAATTCTTTCGCCTTTATTTTCTCAAAACGCTTTTGAAATTTACAAAATAGTGCAAAAATGAAATATATATTTGCAAGAAATCATCAAATCAAGAAATGTTTGCTATTTCGCTGTCGTCATGCAGTCGTTATAATGCAAATTTTAAATTTTATTTTACCAATCAGTGTTCGTTTAATAAAACAGCCAATGAGAGCAAATTTTAAAAGATATGTAGACCAAATAATTAAATAAGTTATAACGCTTCTAAATATTTGGAAAACTTGAACTAGGATCAAAGTTATCGGTCAGTGAAATCGAAAAATCGCGTCGCGTTGTCGAATCGCGTCCGGTGTGTCTGGACCTTTAGCCTTCTGCGGCTTAAAGGGCTTATACAGACCGGACGCGATTTGGCAACGCGACGCGAATTTCCAGTTCTCAATGACATTTAACTTTAATATTTTTCAATGTTTTTCAAATATTTAGAACCACTTAAGCAATTTTAGCTATTTAATTGGTCTGCATATATCTTGTAAAATTTTTATCAGTTGACGGTTTTATTTGTTTTTGAAAACCGAAAATTCGCGTCGCGTTGCCAAATCGCGTCCGGACTGTGTGGGCCTTAAGTCTCATTCACACGAAATCAATGCGTTAAGTGAAATCAGGGATACAGATATCAAAAGCAAAGCAGAAAGAATTTTCTAAAATAGTTTGAAAGAGGTATTTGTTTCAAAGGTTTTATTTGTGGGTAGCTTCTACTTCTTATTGCTTGGTTATAGCCTATAGCCTATACACAGGAATACGACAACTCGCCTTCACTCACGGCAAGAAGTTCGGCTCCGAGTTGTAAACACCAATATTTGACAGTCCAATTCTCTCATTTATAAATTTCGTCTTTCGCTTAATGTTTTGTATGTCTTTATCTTTATTACAGTAGCTCTCAGAAATTTCGTTCCATAAAGGTATACGGTAGATGTTCATGGGTGTTTAATCTATATAGTGCACCGTCTATACTTGTGTCCGCTCTCCTCACCAACTGATTTAATTTGATGTTAATTTCTGTAAGTGCAGATAATGGCACCTATACGCAGTTTGTGAATTTAGACCGTTCATGGGAGCGAAATATTTTACACATTTTGTGGAAGGGTGTTAAGGGCCCTTTGTTTATTGCAGCGAAATATTTTAAAAAGAATATGTCGATAAGCTTTTCTGTATTTGATGTTTCTCATTCCATAGATGAAAGCATTTACAATTGAGTTAATTCCATAAAATTCAAAATGAAAAACCAGGTACCAAATCTGACGGCATAACTTACTACAATAAAATTCTATCGCTAACCCAACCACAGTTGGAGTGAAGACACAGAAAGCCAGCACCACGACAAGAATAAAAAATGTCTTTGCTGCTTTCAAACCGACGAGGAAACGGAGCATTCCGATCAGTTTCTTGGGCGACTGTTCATTGGAAGTGTTAACGGTCAGCTTAATTTTCTTCAGCGAAGATTCGTTGTCGTTGTTTCCGAGCAACATTAAAAATTTGTAAATTGAGAATAAATATTAGAATAAGTGGAACACAGACAATAAAAATATTCATAACCAAGAAAAAGTTGTCAGATATGACGATGCAGAAGCTTCTTAATTTAAAGTCAAATCTGCTAAAATGAACTTGTAAGACAATGAAAAGACAACAGGCAGTTAACCAGATTCCCACAATAGCTACAAAAACTCGTCGACGTGTCACAATCAGAGGATACTTGAGAGGTTTTACAATATATAAATAACGATCAACAGTAAAAAGTGCTGGAAGTATCGCCAGTGAAGCGAACAGCAATGACCAGATAGTAGAACGACTTAACTTACAAAATAAGTCCTGATCACTATCAATGTCCAATATGGTCTGTATAAACTCAATTATCCATATTGGATAAAATGTTAAACACACGAGAAGATCTGCCAGTGCCAAGTTTCCTACCAAGTAAGATGTCGCTGTCTTTTCTTTGTTCAAGAAAATTGTGTAAATTATAACTGTGATATTTCCTAAACCTCCAATAATCATTCAAATAAATTTAAACACAACTGAAAACAGAAGA